CCGGGCCTCTCCATGACGTCTACATCAGGCACACATCGTCTGAACTCTGAGTGTCACCCTTCTTCCGACAGAGCCCAGTTCCAGGGCTCCGCCCCGCAGCCTGGCATCTGGCTTCCATCTCTGAACTCTTTCTCTTACACTGAGCCACTCTCTGGTCCTCTTAGGAGCTACCTATGGCCCAGAGTAAGCTGCCTAGGGCCCTAGGGACCCATGGCTGGGTCTGCTGACAGACATCTTTGTTCTAGATGTGGACGAGTGTGCAGTCACAGACCGGTGTCAAGGAGGGCACTGTGTCAACACCGAAGGCTCCTTCAACTGTCTGTGTGAAACTGGCTTCCAGCCGTCCCCAGAGAGCGGGGAGTGTGTGGGTAAGGCTTCCAGCGGGGAGTGGACAGCGGTCTGCCCCACGTCTGCCCACCTCCACCTCTGCCTGGTCCTCAGCTCCCTGGGACCAGGAACTGCAGCTTCCAGGAAGCAAAGCACTTTCCACAGATTTCTCATCTAACGGATAATGTATTTATTGAGTTTCTGCTGACTCAGAAACTGTGTGAGGATGACAAAATGAAGACGATCATAAGCCCTGTGCTGGCGGAACACACAATCTAGTTTTTAAAGCCAGACTGATTCAATAGACATTTATTAAAAACCTGCTAGGTTCAATGTCTTTTGTTAAGACAAATAGACAGTTATGGGCAATCTTAAAATTGAGCAAGGGAAACAGATATGAAGACAACTCTCCATAATACACTTTGGTGACGGTTTTATTTTTATAGAGAAGTATAAAGTACTCTGCTGAGGGTGGGGGAAGGAGTGTCATGGAAGGCTAAGAGCTCAGTGCTTTCCTAAACAGCACAGAGCTCTCTTTCAGACGTTCATCCCTGCTGGGTCAGGGGAAATGACCCTGAATTTGATGTTTTGGGGTTGAGATGATCACAATAATTCAGAACAGATCAGGTATCCCAGAGGTTGTGGGGCATGACCTTATGATGCCAGAGAGGTGGGGCTAGAGCAGTGACATGGCCACTTCTGTACCCTCTCATGGCTCTGGGGACAGACATTGATGAGTGTGAGGACTACGGAGATGGAGACCCGGTGTGCGGGGCCTGGAGGTGTGAGAACAGCCCTGGCTCCTACCGCTGTGTCCTGGGCTGCCAGCTTGGCTTCCACATGGCCCCTACTGGAGACTGCATTGGTGAGTAGGGAGCGGGAGTCAGAGGCGGGAGGACTGAGGACACCTATTTTTCATGTATCCAGCTAGAAACTATTTTCTCCTGAGGACACTATTTTTGCAGCTGTTTGAAGTTTGTATATTTTCCATACAGCAGAGCTGACACAAAAATTGAAGAGAAATGTGAATGTTAGAGTTTGCTTGTCTTGTGTTTAGAAGTTACTTTTCACAAATCTTGGTGTTAATAGACCAAATAAATAAGTATTCCCAGCAAATAGAGAAAACCAGTGAGAACACACCCTACACTCTTCTCCACTGTCTCGCAGACATAGATGAGTGTGCCAACGACACTGTGTGTGGGAGCCACGGCTTCTGTGACAACACTGAGGGATCCTTCCGCTGCCTCTGTGACCAGGGCTTTGAGACCTCGTCCTCTGGCTGGGATTGTGTTGGTGAGAAGCCTTGGGCTAGCTGGACTCTGGGCCAGGGAAGGGAAGGCCCTTGGGCCCTTTATCCCATCTACACAGATCGACTGTCTTGGGTAGAGGTCCTGGGGCCCTTCTTCTGAAATGTCCATGGTCACTTGGCTCCATAATGGGACCGCATAGAGTGGGCAAGGAAGGGAGATTTCAGTTCCACCCTACAGCTGGCACCTTGGCCAGGATGGTAGAAGTGTGGCCACGTCCTACCAGCAGAGGGAGCAAGCACATTAACCAAGGCTCCACCCTCCTCCCGAAACCTCAGGGTCCCAAGAGGCACTTCTGGAGAATGTGCAGAGGGAAGAACTCTTCCTCTTTTTCCATTTAGGGACCCTTGCCTGCCACTTTTCTCTCTCTCCATTCCCATGACCTCTGTCCATCTTTTTCTCCTGCCTGCTAACTCATACCCACTTCTGCGCTTCCCGCGAAACCCAACCTCTTCTTTTGGGAGGGTATCTGCCCACTGGGCCAGAGGCAGGCGCAGGGGGCATGGGCTGCCTGTTCTCTGCCCAAGAGCCTGTACTTATGCCTGGCAGACGTGAATGAGTGTGAGCTCATGCTGGCGGTGTGTGGGGCGGCGCTCTGTGAAAATGTGGAGGGCTCCTTCCTATGCCTCTGTGCCAGCGACCTGGAGGAGTATGATGCTCAGGAGGGGAGCTGCCGCCCACGGGTGGCCGGAGGTGAGCATGCCCCATACTTCACCCAGCCATTATGAATGGCCACTCTCTGGCTTACTCTTTCACTGCTCCAGCTCCTGAGAAGGAGCCTGGGCTGGGACTGGGGCAGTGTGGGCAGGGGTGCAGCTGAGGAATGGCATGCGGAGGGGTGAGGAGTCTGAGTGCAGCAAATGACAAGACAAGATGGGGGTCTGCTCCAGGCCAAAACACATCCAGGGGGCTGCAGGGCTTTGAGGACCCTACAGAAGGCTCAGGAAGCTCTGAGGCCAACTTAGGGTGGCCCCAGGGATCTCAGATTAAGCCTTGGAGGGGCCCTCAATCTAACCCCAGGAAGCTCTCCAGGTGAGGGAGGCCTGGAAGCTGAGCTAAGCTCGACTCCCCTCTTCCCACGCCCCCGTAGCTTTCTGGGTCAGCTTCCCACCTTAGGCTGCACTGGGATTCAGCTGACCTTCTCTGACTTGGGGAAAAGAAAGGAGGACCTAGAACAGGGAAGGGTGGAGGGGCTGGCGTACAGTATAAAGCAGAGGAATGGGCAGAAGGCTACACATACAGCATGCCAGGAAGGCAGGATGGCATACTGGAAAGAGCGGGGGCTTTGGCACCTGAGGAACTGGGGTCAACTCCCTGCTATGCTACTTAATAGCTGGTGGCTGTGGCCAGTCATTTAGCTTCTCTAAGCCTCAACTGCCTCATCTGTAAAAGGGAGCTAATGCTAATAATGCCCACCTCACAGGGTTGTTGAGAGCATCAAGTGAGATAATATAGGTAAAAGCATTTTGTACACTGTAAAATGGTACATAAACGTTCAATTCGTAAAGGCTAAGGTGTCCCAGAGGGCCGTGAACAGACAATAATAAGGGGCATCTATCACACACAGGTCAGAGTATCCCTGAGGCCCCGCCAGGGGACCGCCTCGCAGGCCCCATCCGCATGGAATGCTACTCTGGGCATGAGGGCCAGCTGCCCTGCTCCAGGCTCCTCAGCCAGAACACTACACAGGCCGAGTGCTGCTGCACCCAGGGTGCCAGCTGGGGAGAAGCCTGTGACCTCTGCCCAGCTGAGGACTCAGGTAAGGCCCCCACAGGTTCCAATCCTCTTAGGGTCAGCTTTCAGGGTGCTTCTGAGAGAGGGGGGAGGGGAGGGCAGAGCCCTGCTCTCTCTGAGCTTAGATGCCTCCTTACAGTTGAATTCAGCGAGATCTGCCCTAGTGGAAAAGGTTACATCCCTGTGGAAGGAGCCTGGACATTTGGACAGACCATGTACACAGGTAACCTCCCTACAGACCCTGATCCCCAAACTCCGCTCACCTGAGCTGGCCCAGCCTGGTCCTCCAGGAGGTCCCTGGGGAAGCTGTGCATGCAGGCTGCCTAGGTCACTTCCATCATTCCTGTCCCAGGGCTGATGACCTGCAGAGTTTTAACTAGAAGTTCTAACAGGAAGTCCTCTGGGAGTGTTCGTACAACCTCACCTCAGCTTTTCTGCTCCCCTGAGGCTGAACTCTCTGGAAACAAACCACAATGCCTTGACTAACCCAGTCACGGGGCACAGAAACAGAGAGGGGAGTGCTGCTATACAGAAGCCAGAAGCAGCTGCTTATCTCCTTGGCCCCACCTACAAAGCCAGAAACTTTGGGGAACCTGTACTCAAAGTGTGTAGTTTAGGTATGAGCCCTTTAGCACCCTAATCCTGAGGCTGGAGAAGGAAATAATAGAAAATGAAGTAGGTTTCCTTAAGTGCTTGCTATGTGCCAAGCACTATTTTAAGTATTTTAGATGTATTAACCTTTTAATTGTCCTAACAAAGGTAAGAGGTTAAGTAGTCATGCCTACATTTTTTAGGTAGAAACTGAGGCAAGGGGAACTTAAGCAAGTGGCCTGAAGTTATCCAACTAGCAAGTGGCAGGGCCAAGATTCAAACCCAGCAAGTCTGGCTTTGGAGCCCCTAGCCTCAAGTACTGCCTCATACTGCTTCTCACCATCCCCTCACCTCAGCTCTGCCTTCCCACAGACGCTGACGAGTGTGTGATGTTCGGGCCTGGTCTCTGCCAGAATGGACGGTGCCTCAACACGGTACCTGGCTACATCTGCCTGTGCAATCCTGGCTACCACTACGATGCCACCCGCAGGAAGTGTGAGGGTGAGGACACACACCACCCCTCCCAACCCCCAGGCCCACAGCTGAATGCTCACCCAGCCCTGCCAGCCAGCCCCATTCTTGCTGGGAGTTCCCCTTCTGGGGGGCAGACGCCAACTGCAGCAGGCAGGTCTGAAGTGAGGGGAGCTGTGGGGCTGTCACGGATTGTACTGGGGATGTTGGAAAAGTATCCCTGGGGAGGGGCCTCCCAGGCTGGGCCGGGGCAGGGGAGGGGGAAGCAGGGTGCTACCTCTTCATTACCAGTTACAAGAAAACCCTCTTCTGTGAAGGTGGTCCGCGGGCAAGGCGCCTTGGCACTGCCCACGTGTTTCTCCTGTCTTCCTGCCACCACAGATCACGATGAGTGCCAGGACATGGCCTGTGAAAATGGCGAGTGTGTGAACACAAAAGGCTCTTTCCACTGCTTCTGTAGCCCACCCCTCACCCTGGACCTCAGCCAGCAGCGCTGTGTAAACAGCACCAGCAGCATTGGTCAGTGGGCCTGGGGTAGCAGGGCAGCAGGGGGAATAACCTGGGCTGGGGGGGCGGGGTGGGCTCACATGCTTCTGTGCCTGTGCTACCAGAGGACCTGCCTGACCACGACATCCACATGGACATCTGCTGGAAAAAAGTCACCAATTATGTGTGCAGCCAACCTCTGCATGGGCACCGCACCACTTACACAGAATGCTGCTGCCAGGACGGTGAGGCCTGGAGCCAGCAGTGTGCTCTGTGCCCTCCCAGGAGCTCTGGTAAGAGAGGCGACCTGTGCCTGCATGGAGGGAGGGGAGGTACCTAAAATGCCCTCACCTTGTAAGGGGGGATTCAGAAAGGAGTAGAGCAATCAGAGTAATGGCCCTTTTTTCCATCCCTGTTGTTTGGGGATAAGGTGGGGCAGGTGGTGGAATGGGGAGAGGCGCACTGCCAGGAACTCTCTGAGGGCACTCGTCCCCCGTGCTCCCTTTCTCCTTAGGGCAGTCAGCCTAGGGATAGCACACCAGGCTTTATCTAACAGGAGTTGGGCCCAGCTTCCTCTCTCACTCCTTCCTGACAGAGGTCTATGCTCAGCTGTGCAATGTGGCCCGGATCGAAGCAGAGCGGGAGGCTGGGGTCCACTTCCGGCCAGGCTATGAGTATGGCCCCGGGCCTGAGGACCTGCACTACAGCCTCTATGGCCCAGATGGGGCACCATTCTACAACTACCTGGGCCCTGAGGATGCCATCCCTGAGCCACCCTTTCACAACACAGCCAGCCACCCAGGGGACCATGCACCGATCCTTGAGTCTCCCCTGCAGCCCTCAGAACTCCAGCCCCACTATGTGGCCAGCCATCCAGGTCTGTGTTGCTGCAAAAATGGGGAAGAGGTGGGCACTGAAGTTGTTTCACTTCCATCTCCTCCACTGGCTAATCACTGCCAGCAGGGTGAGGTCTGGGAAGGGGAAAGACACAGGTCACTCACGGGACAACTCCAAATGCCCAGGTCAGACCCTAACGACTCTCTCTAATGAACTAGCACAAGGGACACAAAAAGGTACAGGACACCATCATCCTAACCTCAAAAGCTGCCTGTGGGAGGGAGCTGAGAGAACAAGAGAAAGCAGGTACACTCTAGTACTGTCTGTTTTTTCCCCCTCTACACCATTTAGGGTATGCAAAATAACCTGCTCTACAAGTTCAAACTTGTGACCTGAAATGCGAATTAAGGATTTCTAATTACTTGAAAGTCCCACTGTGGTGACTTGGTTTGTAAGTGGCACTCAGGGCTTGGATCTTAATGAGGAAGTCAGGCCTGGGATCTGTGCAATGGACACCATCCACAGGCACAGCCACCTTACCAGACTGATTAAGACTGTACTAAGGTTACAGGTGGGGTCTTTTTCAGGGATGGGGAGCTGCTTAGAGAGAGAAGAGGGTTAGGCGGATATGGTAGTTTTGCTTTGTGTTGAGTGAGAGTAATCCACTTTTGCTGCCAATCTTCTCCCAGGGGGAAAAAAAAAGACTATATAAAGATTTTATATAAAACACTCTCCCACCAACCACAACAAACTGTATGGTGACACCCAACTGCTCAGGAGCCCTGGCACTGTAAACATGGTGTCAGCCTTCTTGGGAGGCCTCATTTAAAGGTCTCTGCCACCTAAAATGATTCATATTTATTTTTAAGACTATTGCCTTTTGTTTTAGCATCTTTCTGTGAGAGTTTTAAGACCGTCTCCAACTCCACCCCAGGAATTCAACAGGAGCAACCCTTTGTAGCAGAGGGTAAAGGTCCAGGGGTTGGGTACAAGACCTCAGCTTCCTTCTCTCTCTGACTTCCTCATACCAGAACACGCAGCGGGTTTCGAAGGGCTTCAGGCAGAGGAGTGTGGCATCCTGAATGGCTGTGAGAATGGACGCTGTGTGCGTGTGCAGGAAGGCTACACCTGTGACTGCTTTGAGGGATTCCAGCTGGACATGGCCCACATGGCCTGTGTGGGTAAGTTTAGAAGCCTCAGCTTCCTTCTCTCTCTGACTTCCTCATACCAGAACACGCAGCGGGTTTCGAAGGGCTTCAGGCAGAGGAGTGTGGCATCCTGAATGGCTGTGAGAATGGACGCTGTGTGCGTGTGCAGGAAGGCTACACCTGTGACTGCTTTGAGGGATTCCAGCTGGACATGGCCCACATGGCCTGTGTGGGTAAGAATCAGAGTGGCAATGCCTTGGGAAGCGGACTGACCCTGATGGCTCCCTATGAAGTCGGATGGCCCATTGCTCACTTTAAGAATGCATGTCTAAACCCGGGACAGCTAGAAAAGCCACTGCTGCCCCCTAGTGGGGCTGCCTGGCACTGGGTTGAGTGGTGAGAAAGCTCCAAAGGAAGGTCTAATGCTGTGGAAAGTCCTTTCCATGGAGGTGCCCAGACAAAAGGCAAGGACAAGAGAGCATGGTCACTCTCCTGGGCACAGTATGGGCTCACTACCACCTGCTGTGTCCCTGAGTTGCTCATTTTGGGGCAATGACTTAAGCCTCTGGCTGCCACACCCAGGATTACACTGCAGGGCAGGGTTCAGGGCTTAGTGACCCAGAGGGCCAAATGCAACAGGCCAGAGGCCCTTGCGCTCCATCCAGCTGGCTCTCTCCTGTTTTCCTTCCTTAGATGTGAATGAATGTGATGACTTAAATGGGCCTGCTGCACTCTGCGCCCATGGTCACTGTGAGAACACAGAGGGCTCCTACCGCTGCCACTGCTCCCCAGGTTATGTGGCCGAGGCAGGCCCCCCGCACTGCATCGCCAAGGAGTAGCAGTGAGGGGTCAGTGTGGGCAGCTACCTGGAAATTGGCATCAGGCGGGAGCCTTGAGGACTCTTTCCTAGCTGGGAAGACACCATGAAGGCTTCAAGCAGGAGGCCCTGCAGCCCCACTCCCAGCCAGCTGTGCCTGCTTTTCATCTCTCCCAGCTTAGGTTCTGGCTGTGAGCTTCTGTCACTGCCTCCATGCTGCCATGCCCTTGCTTGGCTCAAACACCACCAAATGCTTTAATACCATGTCACTGGCCATGAGGCCCAGTCCACCATCTGTCCTGGCCTTGCTATGGGATGCTTACCAAAGGATGGCCTTCATCTTCCCTTCAAGCTGTGCAAACATGCAAGGTCCTTCGGCCTCACTGTAGACACCCTGTTCCAGCCATGATGATCATCCCGATGATCTCAAAACTGGGTCAGAGGCTACACCTGTCCTGGGGTGGTACTTCAGAATCTATGGAGTAAAAAAGGATTGGAGGAAGTCTGGGGAGTGACTCCAATGCTCTTCCCCTAAGAACCATCACTACCACTCAGCCAGTCTGGTCTAAACCAGATTTTGCCACATCTCCATCCTGTAGCCACTTCTGTGTCCCCAGAGAGGGGCAGAAGATCCCCTCGTCTCAGAGAAGAGAGACTGGTACTAGCTTGCTGAGGGTGAGACACACAAATGAAGGGGAGCGAGGAGCCTAAGAAAGCAAGAGGGCAATATTAAAAATATAGGATGTTGATAAGGGGGAGCCAGGACTTTACACAAGCCTAAAGAAAATCCTCAACAGCTTTGAGTAAACATTCAAAATCTATCCAGCAATAGTTCCTGTGCACCACAAGGGCTGCCGCAAGACAGGGTGCCCATCTCCGAAAATCTGTATTAAATACATACTGGTCCTTACAGAAAACAAAATCTCTCCTCGGCTCTCTTTTCGCAGACACTAGCTTGATGTGCTAAAAATAAAGAGTTCTATTTTCTAGCTTGTGAAATACAGTGTAGTCTTGTTTTAGGGGAAGCCAGATTTCCTGTGTTGTTTGTCCTCTTTACTCAGAATCCTCTGCCCTCTTCCCCTTCATCAAATGGCTGGCTGGCATTCCTCTGAGTTTACAAGTGGAGACCTACTCCAACCTTGGCTAGATGGGAGCTTAGATCCACAATGGAATAAAAAAATGTATATCTGGGCTCTTCTATTTTTTGTTTCATATTAAATTTCTTTACTATATTGGCTGTCTAAATATTAGACATGAGGCTATGCCTACCCCTTTGCCAGGTCTGCCAATAGCCTATGATTGGGTTCCAATGGGAAAAGATTCTTTACTCTTCTAAGAGAAAGAAAGCTCTGACTTTGTATTCCTCTGATCAATAACAATGCGAATGAACAGGGCTCCATGTGCCTGGAGACATGGAGATGAATACTAATTTCTTAATTTAATCTGTCCTGTCCTACCTGCTGCTGATTGCCAGCCATCACGTAACTTATTGAATGCTTGCTATGTACTAAGAGGTGTTGAGGGCTATACACAAATTTCATTTAATCATCCAACAATACTACTTACTATTTTTATTCCCAACTTACAGGTGAGGAAATGGAGACACATGAAGCTTAAATAATTTGCTCTAGGTCACTATACTAGAGATCTCTTTGGTAGACAAAAATATATAGTTCTTAAACATATTAAAATATTCTGACTTTCATTCATAACAAAAGAAATGCAAGTTAAAACCATACCAAGACACCTTAATTGTCATATTGGCAAAGATCAAAAAGTTTAAGACTCCTATTTGGCAACATCTGGAGGAAGAGTACAAATTGATATAACTTCTGAAGAGGATAATATGGCAATATCTTTCAAAATTATAAAAGCACTTAATCTTTGAATCAGTAATTTCACTTCTAGGAATTTAACCTTCAGTTATATTCTCACCAAATGTGAAATGACATATTTAAGAGGTAATGACATATTTAAGAGGTACAGCATTATTTTTAATAGCAAAAGATTAGAAACAATTGTTATGGAGCCCTAAAGAGAAAAATAAAAAGTGGCTCTAAATGCCTTGATATCCAAAGTAGATTAAGGGAAAAAGGAGGTTTGTATAACAAAGTGTAACATATGCTGCTATTTGTCTAAAGAAAGGGGAAAGAGAATTGGGTATCTGCTAACCTCAATCTTGCCATTCCACCTTACACCTCATATTTCACAGAACTTCTTCCAACCCTCGCCTTCCTGCTTGCCCATCCAGAGATATTTCATGCACATATGCATATTTCCTTGTATTAGAAACACGAATAGCATACTATGCATGCTGTTCTACACTCTGCTTTTTTCACTTAATACACACTTGCACATAAGAGCTGTCTCATTCTATTTTATAAATGTATAGTATTCCATTAAATGAATAATTTATTTAATCAGTCCCCTAGTGATGGATGGACATTTTCAGTTTCCCACCTTTTGCTATTAAAAATGCTGTAATAAATATTCTTGTGCAAATGTTATTTCACATTGTTAACTATGGGATTATACCTGTGAGCTAAATTCTTAGAAACAATGGTGGTTTGTGGGAGGGTGACAGGGTGGACGGGTATAGGATTGGGAGACTTTTCATTGTATCCCCTTTTGTGTCTCTTTGAATTTTGTACCATATGTATTACCTATTAAAAAAATAAAATATTTTTAAATAGAGCTGCTGGACATAGATTGCTTAAATGTACCCTCTCTTTATATATTTACCTGACCATATTTTACAATTAAAGCCAGATAATTACTTCAAAACTTCTTAAATAAAACAAACTTCCTTGAAGCAGCCCTGTGGCACTTCCATGGAGAAGTGGCAAACAGAGACTTTAAAAGAGCAATCATAAACACCAATGCTAGCTAGATATCTCAAAAAGTATAGGTGTTTCCTGCCTTTGAGACAAAACCATAATGTTGCAGTGGGGTGTGAGGCCCTGCATGCTGCAAACCGCATGACATCAGCCCAAGGCCAGTTTAAGGGTGGGCTACACTGTGAGGGTCAGTGCTACCCACTTCTCTATATAAGATGCTCCTGCCAAACTTTGACCTTCCACTCAGATGCTTTATAACAAAAGGCCAAAAGAATATGGCTCAATTCTCAGAAGAAAGAGAATGAAAAGTATCTTTTTTGAACATCTACTTTAGTAGTCCTTCCTAATCTTACTTTTGAACCTGTTTTCTCCTAATGCTATGTAATCAGTCAACATTCCCACAAAAAGAAACTAAGGGACACCTATAGTTTACACACCACTAGTCACTATCAAACACAAAACTCAAGACTACGTGTGATTCTACAAGATCTGGACAGTTGATCAAGAGGCCCCTTCTTTAGAGCCAACAGCATAAAGCTATTAACAACATAAAGCAGATCCAGGGTTCCCATGCCTTTGGTTCTCACACTATTATGTTTTGCTAAAGCAAAGGTGGGGCATGCTGCCCCAGGCACTCACTAGCTTGCATATATAAATAAAATGAATCCTGCAACAAATAGGGCCTTGATAACCTCCTCTTGGAAAGTAAAGGGAGGCAAAAAAAATCTTCCAATTGATACTAGAAGAGTATAAAATTTTCCTAAATGAATTTACACAGAAACATTTGTGAAAACATCTGCTGGCTTTTACGGCCTGCCAGGAAGAAGGCATCTGGTAATAAAGTGCCTACGAAAGATCCCATTCCTGTTTTACATTGCTTACTATTCATTCCAAGCAAACTGCCCACTGTCACTTTGATGCTATCATTTCCCCAAGTTGTTTTTAAAATTTCTACATCACCCCGCTCCAATGGAGACTTCCTGTTTGAAATTTCAGGTTTCCCAATGAAGCTTTCTGTGTGAAGACTGATTTCTCCCAAATCCACCCTTTCTAAACACAAAATTTCAACTTTCCCATTAATAGTAGGCAGTTACATATAGGCATTCTAAGGGACCCTGATCCTGCCTGACCACTGCAATTTAATGGTTTATTTAGCAACTAAAGCTATTATGCTTATGCTATTAGTTTTAAAATCACCAAATCAATAAATAACTCACAAAAATATTCTGGAAGAATATTTCGAACATGTAAATGTAGCAAAATCTTTCTGAAGAGGACAGGACTCTTCTGAGCTAAAAATTTTATTAGGCCCAGGTACCAGCAGCAATTCCCGACGTCTTAATAAAGCTACGCACAGATGCTTCCATGGTATGCTGCTTTCTGCCATGGAAATCTGCTAATAAATCTGCTCAGGTTTCTGAGTGTCCTCTTCTTTCCACTTTGTATGCACTGCATATACATAATAGGTTTGTTTTCTCTATGTCCTAGGTTTTCCCATACTGAAAATGTGAGTTTCTGTCTCAGATACTTTGTCTCTAAAACTCTATTTTCATTTTTAATGGTAATTCCTTTTATTTAACACCTTTAATTCTAACCCAGACTCAGAATGATATTCTTCCAGAATCAACTTGGGTGTGGTTTCCCAACTTCAGTATTTATAAATCATTCATCATGGTTATAGTGTTTTTGTCATTGTTTAGTTGTCTGTCCACGCAATTCTGGCTCCCCCAGCATTGCCATTACTAGCGTTGTAGCCTATTTAAGTTCCACACTCAAACATGTACATTAAAATTCACGGGAATTTGTGGCTTAAAATGCTTTTTCTTCAGTGATCCTAAAGTAAACTTGCCAGGTTTAACAAATAAATTTAGAGGATCTCAGTTAAATTCGAATTTCAGAAAACAAATAATTTTTAGTATGTCTCACGCAATATTCGAGACTCATTCATACTAAAAATTATTTGTTCATCTGAAATTCAAATTTAACGAGGCATCCTGCATTTTGTCTGGTCATCCAACCTACAAGAAAATCCCTAAGTATCTATCATCTATACCAACAAAGGGACCAGTTCCTGCTACACATAAGATCAGAGACATCTTTCACCATAAGTGAAGCAACATATCCTAAAAAGATTCAGTCACTAAATGATCACAGAATCTTGAAATATCTGTGGGAGTATGGAGTACGGAGGCTATTTTTCAAGTGATTCGGATATTAGTGGGGCTTAAGTCTGTTTTCAGATGAGCTTTTGGTTTTGTGAATCTAGCAGATTCATGAGTGTGAGAGGAAAATGTATGTGCTTTAACAAGTGGAAGTGGAGAATGAGCTGCGCAGAAAATAAGGATAAGTCAACTACCACATTCAAGAAGGGTGAGATGAATAGAGAACATTTCATTTGCCTTTCTCATCCTCTCTGGCCTAGCAATCAGTGTCCAAGCTACCTAATCTGTGACTTTGATCCAAACCACAAGTAAATAAGGACTTTCTTTAAAACGAAGCTTTTATACATAGCTATACAAATATGTATAAGAAGCTCTAAAGGCCTGGAAAGTAACTCCAGATTTTGGAACTTTAGAGGCTCTACAGATTATACTGGGTTTCAACTAGTTATTAAATCTTAGGTAACAGCATCTAGAGGCTTGGCCTTAGAATCATGCAGGAGAAATTAAGTCAAGAGTAAAAGCTTCACATTCTGGAAATAATAGTGGCAAAACACAGCACTCCTGGATTGTGGGAAATAAAACTGAGAGAGGGACATGATTGGAAGGAAACTTCTGGAATTCTACTAATCCCAGGTTCTTCAAATTGGTACAAATGGTAGCAACCTCTGGGTCACCTATCATCACATCAAAGTTTGACAGAGAAAGATGACCCACAGGAGCAGCCTGTCTGTGCTTGAGGATTATTCAACACTTGAAATGAGCTTCGGATCAGTTCTTGGCTGAAGTCCACCTGGGATCCTTTCACGAAGGCCAAGCTATCAGAGTCAACCACCACTCTTGCCCCACCCTGTTCAAATACCCTGAAAAGACAGGAGAAAAGTATTAATGAATATCATAAATAAAAACACGACACCCTCCGAGCTCTGATATAAGAGGTGCACATCCTCGGTTTTCTGAAATACAGAGCAAGCATCCCTTATCATCAACAGGTGCCGATTTTGAGGCAAAAAAGATTCAATGGAATGAATAATGGGAAATGCTCAGAGATTTAGGCCTGGAATCTAGTCTAGCATGACTCTACCAACTACCCTATGGACCTAGGCTGGCCACTTTTCCTCCTATAACTTAGTTATTTTTGAATCAAGACAACAAATCTTCACTGTATCCCCACTGTGTGATGTTAAGCATCCTTAGCAAACCTTTTAAATTTGGAATAAAAATTTACCTTAAACTGGAGACACTTTTATTCCTCCCGCACAATCTCCGGGACCCACCCCTTCCTCCTTGCCTGTCGTCGGGGTTAATAACTGTATCCAGTGAAAATCTGTATTGGAATCCGGAGCATCCACCTCCTTCCACCTCCAGCCTGAGGAATTCTGACCCTTGGGTGATTTCCAGAAGCCTCTGAAATGCAGGAAGAGGAGATCAGGAATGTCGGGCCAGGGGAGGAAGAAGGGTAGGCCAAGGGAAGGTCTCCGCACTACGAACTCCCGTCTGGGCACCGCCACCGCTTTTACCTGGACGCAGCTGTCCGTGAGGTGAACCTGTCCATCGCCAGCCTCGGGGCTGGAAGACGATGCTTCCCGATGCGTCTGAGGTCCGGCGGAGGCCGCGAGGAGCCTGCTGCGCGCAAGGGAGGATGATAAGTCCAGAGGAGAGGGGCACTGGCGATTCTCTACCTGGAGAGCCTCACGCCACCCCCGCACCTCTCCCGCGGACCTGTGTCCGCTTAGTTCTGGACACGCAAAACCTAATACTCTTCCCAAGTGCCCTTCTTGGCTTGGTACCTGCTCCTCCGCCAGGGGGTGACCGACCTCAGCGCCGAGGCCGTTAGGGTCAAGCCCCGGGCGGCCGCCATCTTTCTCCACGAATCCCGCCCCTTGCGTCGCCCCAATCCCCTTCTCCGCCTGGGCCTCAGGAGGCGGGACCCATAGAGACCACGCCCTGGAGCACGCCTATTGGGTGTTGCAGGAGGAGAAGGAATGTGGTTGGCTAGAAATGTTCCCATTGCGGAAGCGGGGACGCACCAACAAAGCCGAGAGCTGAAGAGAGGGGCGGGATGGAGATGTATCCGAGCCCACCCGGCCGCAAAGTGGACAAGATGGGCGGAGATAGGGCAAAACCGTGCGGAACCAGGCTCCCAGGAGCCGGGGGCGGGCACTGATCCCTGGTCGCCTGACTGAGCTCCGCCCCTGGCCACCTCCGGCGGGTTTATCTTGTGATTACTGCGGCCGCTTCTTCCTTCCTCTCTCTTGGAACCTCTTTCGCAGCAATGCGTTTCTTAGCCGCCGCGTTCCTGCTCCTGGCGCTCAGCGCCTCCGCCCTGGCAGAGCCGGTGCATTTCAAGGACTGCGGTGAGCCTCGGACCAGCCCGAGGTTTCCGCGCTCTCTGCGGGAGCCTCCGCCAGAACCTCGGGCTGATTCCCTGGGCTAGGTTGGGCGGGTTCCGTGGGCGGCCAAGCTCAGCCTCAGACCCCTCATATAGTGGGCTGGCGTGGGCTGGGGTGGGGCAGAAGGTGCCATCCTCGAGGAAACTCGATCGCTCACAACTTTGTTTCCTTGGAACGCGTGTTTGGGGTCCCTGGACATTCCTGGAGGTGGACCTTTTGCTGAAGTTTCCTGAAGTTTGTAGGGCAGAGAACCGAAGCTCCGTGTATAGTGCGGGGTGTGAAGGGTAGGACGCAGAACTTTTTATTTTTATGCCCGTATCTTGGATGACCTCTCCCTCCCTACTTTGTTTGCTTTTATTTTTGATTTAGCATTTGCTGACAAGTCAAAAGTCAGTTCTCCTTTTCCTGACTTATTCCGTTAGCGTTTTCTTTGGGCTATGGAATTTCGTGATTCCTATCTATAAAAACCTGTGCTTCTGGTCACAGCTTGTGACACATAACCCCCTCTTACCGCTGTGGTTGGAATCTTTATTGGGAAATACAAGGAGTGGGCTGTAGAAAATGTGAGTTTGTTCAATCAAGTCGATAGAATTATTTGTTCCAGACGAACTTTTCTAAAGTGGAGAGGTATAGTGATAAATGAAAGAAGTATGAAACTGATTTTATAAAATTTGTGAGCTGGAAGGAAACTCGGAGATCATATAGTCTGGCAGTCATTGAATTCCAGAGACATTAGATAACTTACCCAAAGTCACACAGCAGAATGAGAACCGATATAAGTTTGCTCCTCTATCCAGTGCCCAGGTAATAGTAACTGCTTAATAAATATTTGTTAAAAAAAAAAAATAAATGAGGGAATAAATACTCTTTTCACTATGTCATCCAAATTCATGCTGAGGCAAAAGCAAAGTTGGATACTAGGAGACAGATTAAGGAATAAAGACTGCTGGCCTATTAATACTTAACAAATGCTGTTCCACTGACCTAGGACACTGGCGCTTGAAAGATGCTATTATCACCTCAGATTATTGCTTTTCCCTCCATTAAACTTAGTGGCCAACATTTGGATGAAGATACTGTATTAACTTTATTAACTCATTCACCCCTCACACTGTTTTACAGATAAGGAAACAGGCACATAGAGTACCTTGCCCAAGTTCTCATAGCTAGTAAGCAGAAAGAAACTAGTGAGTGTTTTTGAGCCACTTTGGGTTTCAATGGTAACATTAACAACAACAGCAACAAAAACTAAAGAAATTAAATTTAGACTATCGTTCTACTCATTTGAGAAAAGCAGGTGTGCGCCTATGGCAAGAAATTCTTAAGTGAAAGAGAGTTTCAGTTAGATTTTCAATTTACTTTTGAATTGGGAAATACAGTGTAAAAACTTTAGTGCCCACATCAAAAGTTTTTTGAGTTCCTCTGTATGCCCCTTTTCCCCTGGAGTGGCATTTCCCCAAGTCAGAAATGGGGCCCAGCAAATTAGTTTTGCAATGTTTTCAGCTTAGGACTGAGAAGTTTGTTCTGTTGACATTGGAAGTCCAAGAACCTCTTGTCAACCAAAAAACTGGATGAAGGAGCTACAAGTACTACCCTTTACTCAGTTCCTACTAGATCATGTGACCCGGCCTTGAAAGCAGATAGAAGCTGGACACAGAAAACTAGCATTAACGCTGATTTTCAACAGGTTGTTGATTAAGGTTGAGATGGTTTTTGTTTGTTTTTTATCTGACCGTAGAAGATAGGACAGAGTGGAAGAGGGTCTTAGAGAAGAGAATCCTTGCCTGTATATTCTGAGAATTTTGCCATCATGGAGAAGCTGTCTGGGGATAAGGGACTGCAAGATATTTATAGACCTAGCTGGAGCAGTGTTGGTCACTGTACATACATACCTTTTCACTTAAAGAAAGCATTTTATGGCCTCTCTTTGGCATGTGTGAATTGCCAACATCACTCCCCTTGCGCTCGGGGGCCATTATTAAGTAAAGTAAGAGTTACTTGAACACAAGCACTATAATACCAGAACTGAGACATCAGCTACTAGGTACCTAGCAGGACAAAGAGATGAGTTATTTCCAGGGCAGGTGGAGTGAGAGACAGTGTGAGATTTCATCACACTACTCAAAATTTAAAATTTATGAATAGTTTATTTCTGGAATTTCCCATTTGATCTTTTTGGACCATGGTTGACCATGGGTAACTGAAACCACAGAAAGCGAACCCGCGGATAAGGGAGACTACTGTGTAGCATTACTGTGTTCCAAACACTTATCTGATAGCTAATTTTTGTTAGATCACCTACTCTATGAGGTAAGTACTATTATTATCCCGAGAGGGTAAGTATCTTGCCTTGAAGTTACACAGTAAATAATGGAGCCAATGAGATTTCAAACTCTGGCATCAGGTCTCAGAGTCTACAGTGATGGCCGAATTGAAAAGCTTAAGCGTACCCTGTTATAGGCAGTGTTAACAGGCAGTTCACTTGCATTCTGTCCAGTTTGAGGGGACTGGATGAGATAATGGGATTTCTAAAGATTTGTACTTAACCTTTTTTGGTCCAGCATTTATTATGAACAAACAGCACTTTTGTCCTCGTTTAGGCTGAAATCAAAAAAAAAAAAAAAAAAAAAAGACATACACTCTGTTTCAGTGATACTTATTTTGAAGAACACAGGTTTCCAAAGTATATTGCAGATGCATTCTTAAAATTGTTCTCACTGGTGAGGGTATACAAAACTTGGAGACACTGATTTGGAGATACCAGGACAGAATTGAGAGATGGGGGTGGGGGGAGAGGCTGTTTGGGAGCAGCCAGTTTCAAGATTCCGATTGGAAACAGTAAGGCTATGACTTGTGCCTTATGTATGTGGCTTTAAAATCCCGTGCTGGTGCTGGGGTGGAAGGAGGGATGGGGATGATTTTCCCTTGTATAGCCCTCTCAGAATGTAGAGTAGGGGAGCTGGCTATATATATTTAATAATTGCCTTCATTCCCATTTACCCATCAAATATGAACAGTTTCCTGGAGACCTCTGATCGTCAGAGGAGAACGAGCTCACCATAATTGGGAGAGCAGAGCATCTTCCCATTAGGTAGGGACAGCCTAAGTGGTTTATTTTTCCTTTTATTCAAATTCATTTTTCCTCTTTTGCAGGTTCCGGGGTTGGAATTATAAAGGAAGTGAATGTGAGCCCATGCCCCAACCAGCCCTGCCGTCTGCAGAAAGGACAGTCTTACACTGTCAATGTCACCTTCACCAGTAGTGAGTAAAAGTGTCTCTTACTTTTAAATTTGTCTTAAAGCATAACATTAATCTCAAGTATTGCAATTAGCATGGGAGTGTAGGGGAGAGGAGCTGCAATCAAGAATTCTGAGACCTCCCTTCCAACTTGTACAAAGTTAGGTTTTGCTATACCCTTAGACACCCTTCTCATACGGGGTTCCCCTATGCCTGTTTCCTAGAATCCCTTTAAGCAAAGAGAGATTTCCATGTGTTTATAGGTGAGAAAAGACAGCTTGGCTTCTCTCTGTCCAATCTGGAACCATATTGCACAGTGGCTTTTATGGGAATGTCAGCTCTGTTTAGTTAGCTACAGACTCCAGAATATTAGTACAGACCCCAATTCTGTAGCCTTTGAACTTCTCCAAAATGTTATTTCAGGCAATATACCTTCCAGTGATTAAGTCTTAGGTTCTACTTCAAAATATAAGAGCAATTAATGCTTAGCCTCTGTAAGGTTGAGGGAACTCACTGGGAACCCAAGAAGCAATCAAGAGCTTTCTTTAACTTGAAGAAATATTATTGGAACTTGTTGCTTCCTGGTACCACATTCATCACCCTCAGATTCCCAGGAACTTAGACAAATGCAAAGTCTTTATTTCTAGAAAAGACATATAACTTGAATCCTCTCATTTTCTATCCTATGGAACTAGACTAGACAGTCTAATAAGAATTTTGAAAGTCTCCGTCATCTCTTGTTCTTAAGCCTAAAGACAGTTGTTTTCTCTCCTACGTGATACCCTGGCCTCTCTATTGTTCCAAACCAAAAAAGTACCTTCTAAACTAAAGTAATTGCCAACCCAGAGAGAAAGAAATAGAGCCAGTACTCCAGATCTCCAGAATAACCTATCGGCTCATAACTCTGCCCTAATTTTATTATACGTATTCCTCTTGTCCATCTTGTCATGGAGGATAGAGCTTAGCAAGAAATGTGCCTCTTTATAATCTTAACCCAGTTTCTAAAAGGTTCACTTCTTTCTCTAATGTTACAGTCCATGGTGTGTCCATGTAGACTAATTATTCCCTTTCCATATGGCCTTACATTTTATTCTTAATTTCTCATGGAATCCTTTGGGTGGGAGTATTTGAGAATTCAGAGACCAGTCTCCTAAAACTCTTTAAGATACACAATACACTTGAACAGAAGCTGATGTAAATTGTAAGTAGAAAGTTTACTGCCAAAACTCAGTTACTTTGTGTTGAATGACGTTTTTTATCCAAGTAACTCTGATTCTCCTGAGAAACGGAAAGGCAGTGAAAAGTAAGGTGGGTTTAAGAGCAAAGAGACATCCCCTAACCCGCACTGATTCCCTTTTTTTTTTTTTTTTTGGCATAATTCAGTAATTTTTCAAGTTTTGGTGTGAATGCTTGCTTTTTAGCATTCTTGGAGGCACTAAGCATAACTACAAAGAGAAATAGACCCTAGGAATTGAGAGGTATAGACTATGATTTACTATCATAGCAGTGCCATTGCTTGAAAATGTATCTGAATTTTTTATTTAGAGTTTGGAAATAGGCTGTTTCCTTCACTATCTGATTATCTTTTTTATTTTCCTCTCTCTCTCTCTATCTCTTAGATACTCAGTCCCAAGGGAGCAAAGCCTTGGTATATGGCATCCTGATGGGTGTCCCAATTGCCTTTCCCATTCCTGAGTCTGATGGCTGTAAGAGTGGAGTCAACTGTCCCATCGAAAAAAACAAGACCTACAGCTACCTGAATAAACTACCAGTGAAAACTGACTACCCCTCTGTAAGTGACGTTGGTGTTGAGGACACTTAAGGCCTTGTGACTAGGTTAGATATCTGAGGAATGAGGAAGAAAGAAAAGGTCGGAGTAGGAGTCCTTCATCTCTATGATGAAGAAGCGGAAGCCTGAGGAAAAGGAGTTAAGTTAGTGTTAGGAATCGTAAGGTACGGCAGATATTTTTCATCGTGTCCTTTTGTTCTTTGTTTATAGCCTAATGGTTAGCTATATATATCTACAGTATTTCACTGGATTCTCATGACCACCCTGTGTAGAGGTGATATTATTCCTATTTTACAGATGAAGCAATTTGAACTTCCAATGTTATGTGATACGAACAGAGTCCACTCAGCTAAGAAATATTATAGCCTAGATTTAGAGCTGAGTCTTGTGACTTCAAAACCTGTACAGTGTTGAAAGATTCTAGCCAAGTATCAAATAGTTCAAGATTTTAAGTTGTCTTAGCATTGTCATCAGAAAATTCTGGTTTCTCTATTAAATCTATTAATAAGAGAGCAGTAGCTCATTAGCTCCACAGCAGAGGGGTAGCTTTGTCTACTCTTCCTTCTCCTCTCTACCCACCTCCCACCCCTACCTTTACCTCTAACTCGCCCTGCTATACCTACTTCTTTTTCTACCAAACATTTGTAAAGTAGAGCCTGCTGGAATGGGCCTGTATTAAAGGTATGAATCTTGATGAGAATGGAGGAAGTAAAAGGATTGGGTTTTTTTCAAGAAGAAAAAGAGCTGTATTTTTTTAAAGGAAGTCAAATATAACCCAGGAGCAATCTGGCCATTTATTTTCTAGAAAGGGCAAGTAATTAACATTCTAAAGAGTCTCTAATGTAGGAAGTCTGTGTTTAAGGGATGTTGGAGACCCTAAAGGTCAGAGACAGATTTATACATTAATTTGCAGAGTAGCCATGTAATCATGGGCTTTTCAGAGCCTCGGTTACTTATACAGAGTGTCTGGTTAGGACCTGATACATAGGCACTTAATATATTGTACTTATCGTTAAGTGAATTACATTTCATTTGAAAAACAGCTTAAACTATGCTAATTTTACTGTATTAAGTGAAACAGTAGTTAATGTGTACTTGTCTTAAAACTTAAAAAGCAGGTTTCCAGAAGCTGGGTATCACTGTCACCCAAGTGTTATGTTGTAAAGAAACATTTGAGTACAAAAGAGAGATAGTAACTAATAACAAGTAAGTTCTTGTCTATGTAAGAAAAGACTGGCAAAGTGTTAGTGATTTATTAAGAATTAGAAGGGATAGCTCATAATACTGTGTAGCAAGTCAAGGCAGAGATCTCTAATCAGGTATATTATCACAAAACAGTTTAAGGACGTTAACTGAAACTCTATGCTACAAACAGTTATTGTTCTTGAAATTACTCATACAATGGTAAACTTCGTTGGACATCCTTTATACTTTGCTATTTCCATTTCCAACTAACACGTAAGTTTCCTTATACCTAAGAATCTAAATGTTTACTTTCTGCTCTTCATGGTTACAGTTGGGAAAAGCTGGATCAGTTTGCCAAACACATGAGAAATTGTCTAAATGTAAAGTTATTTTTATGTAAGCCTTCGTTTATGTACTGGTGAGCAATAAGATGGAAAAAATGCTTTAGAAACTATATTTGATAAGTTACCTAGGTTAGTACGTGGTGCTAACACCAAATCATAGGTATGACTTGGTTTACTCTTCTAAGTTTAAGGACACAGGCTGTGCCCACATCCCAAGTAGCTTTCATGATGGCCTGTCCTAAGAAGACAAGCGTGAGAAATTAGGCAGTTTGTTACAATGTACATCTAGGATTCAGAGTTAAACCAATTCTGGATGGAAATGAGGTATGAGTTTCATTTTTCCCAATTCTTTTTCTCTTTCTCCAGATAAAACTGGTGGTGAAGTGGGAACTTCAGGATGATAAAGACCAATATCTCTTCTGCTGGGAAATCCCAGTACAAATTGAAAACTAGAGCTATTTGATGCCAGTATGTCCATCTGGGGATGAGAGAATGTGGGTGGAGAGAGGGGAGGAGAAACCAAGTCTACACTAAATCAGTGCCATAAGGTAAAAGGAATTTCTAGACTGTTGTTTTATGCTTCTCAACCTCTATCCTCATCTAAGACCCTATTTCCCGAGAGCTCAGAACTGTTGCCCTTGTAATACGTTTTGTAAATGCATAAAGGAAAGGAGAGCGAGGGACTGTAGGGATTGATTTAATTGTCTTCAGTGTTTTTTGCTGTTGAATAAGGAGAGTCCCGCCCGACAGGACCCAAATGAGGTTGCTTAGGGACGTTGGATGATGTGTCGTGGGGTTATTGGCCATTGCAGTGGAGGACAGGTTCCAAACCACGTTCGTCTAGCTGGGATAGTACATCTCCAAGTGCCTCACTGAGTTCAGTACATCTGGCCAACAAGCCTGCTGATTCTCGAAGGCACCTCCAGCTCCGCTGCTTCAACAATGATGACTTGCTCTCCAGTGGTATCCAGCGTTTCGGTGGAGGGGGAGGTGTTCCGTGACAGAAATTCAACTCTGGGTGGCTGGTTCTCGATGGTTATCTCATGTCTCCTTTTCTGTCTTGGGTGGTTTTCATTAAATGCAACACTCGATTAGCAGATATTTGATTTTTTTTCTAACATTACCTTGTGACTTCTCTATGCACCTGGAAATGTACCTTTGAATGAATAAAAACTTGATAGTCTTCTGCATTTGTGCTCTGGTCAGCTGCTTCTTTCAGACAAATTATTTCCCTCAGATCCATGGAAGGTGGACACCCAGTCCCATGGTCCCTGAGTGTAATAAAGATATGACTCTTTCAGAAACTGCCTTTTCTCCCCTTTTTGCCCAGTTAGACCTTACTTATCTATTTCATACAAGATGACCTTGTTTTGTTTTATTTTACATAATCTTATACCACAAGTGTGCCTGATATAAGCAGTGAAAGCAGACATCACTTCGTTGAATAATAACATCCGAAAGGTCTAAGGAACTGAATGAAGGAAGTGGGCAGCAAGTAAGGTTGCAAGTTGGCATGAAGCATAGTATTCTTTTGGGAACCTTATGCCACAAGGAAAGCCTAGAAGCTAAAAAATGAAATATGAAGTTGCAAGTAATGGCTAAGCTAATTAAATCTCGGAATTTCCTCCTTTTGAAGTACAAGTATAATCATGGGGCATGTATTTTGCTGCTTGTTTTAATCAATGCACTATCAGCTTTTAGCCATCGCAGGGATTATAACCCTGTTCATGAGTGAGTGGGGTAACAGGGACCTTGAAAGTCTTCTGTTTTTGGTTGGGATGCCTATATAGTAAATCATTTGGTCCAGTGTTTTTCATCCCAATAATTTCATTAGACCCTTGGATTTCTTTTGCTTGTAAGTTCCTCAGGAAAACCACCAGGGGACAGCCATAGATTGGGAATAAAGTTATCAACAGCCAAGATTGACTAGTTAATTCCCAGAGCCATTCCACCACTGTACTCTTTAGTCAAGACCTTTTGTGTATCCTATCACATCGTGTCCAGAGGGACAGCCCACTCTGTCTCCACATAATGGACCCTAGGTATGTCAGACTTCTATGAATTCCACAGGGGTTAAACTGCTGTGGTCTCTGGCTTCAGACTGCCAGTAGTTGGATCCTGGCTCCACCAATTAATAGGAACACCAGTGCGGTTTTTAAATCCCTTAACCTCTCTGGTTCTTCAGTTCATTATCTGTTAAATAGGGACAATAACAGTAGGACTATGAGGGTTAAATGAGGTGAAACATGTAAAACATTTAGAATGGCCCCTGGCACACAGCACAGACTCAGTAAATGTTAGCTATTCTAGAAGAGAGACACTGTTCCTCATCTAGAAACTGCAGAAAAAATTCAATCCTATGTGTGGTATGTCACTTCAGAAAAATGAGGCTGCCCTCTGTGCATATAATTTTTTGAGGTGCCTGGAAAAACTCAGTTCTCATGTATGTCTGCTCTCTCCTTCCCAGAAGACTTCTTATATCACTGAGCTCCTTGAGGCTAATGGCTCCCTGCCCTGCATTTCATACTCCTGCTCTCATACAAGAGACAGTAGAAAAGCAGTTCAGCTAGTGTATACCCTTCAGTAAGAGGAGAAGGGTAATGCAGCCACTTATAACTGTTCACCGGCCGTTGTGAAGCTGCATGGAGCCTGGCAGCAGTGAGCTAGGTAGGGCTCCCATGGGGGGATTAGTTTGAAAGGTCATCTTCTGCACAGACGATTCACAGGCACCCCTGAATCATTAAAACATTGAGAAGCACTGAATCTTGGGCTGTATAAGAAAGGTCATGTTCTTTCCAATGACAGTCTCATGATTTTCTAGTCCACTGAGCAAGCGATGGAGGCTTAGACACAGCTCCTCTCTTGCATGAATTCCAGGATAGAAAAAGCCCAGACTCAGCACCCCTGCTTACAGAATAAAGATAACACAATACTTAGTATCCCCAGTTTGGTAGAAAGTTAGGTGGGAGGCCTGGCATTTAGTCAAATCAGGCTAATAAAAAGCAATAAAGCATGGAGTAATTTCCAGTCTTCTATGTTTGGTTTTGAAATCTTAGTTGACTTTCTAAAAAAAACAAATTGATCTTAATTATGCTTTGCAAAGGTTGATAAAACAGTCTGTTCTCTGAGAACACCCACAGAAGTAGGGAGTGTCTTGACATAGGTGAGGTTCAGGCTAAGGGAAGATGATCATGAATTAGCTATTCACATCAGAGAATCCAAAAAGCAAATATTGCTTAAATGACTGGGTTGGTCTGAAGACAGGGTCAAGATACATAGGAAGAGGATTAACACAAAGAAAAAGGTTATATGTGAGAAATGTCACTGCAGTGATAGTCATTTTGAACAAGTGTTTTCCTGCCCTTCGGGAAGGAGATAGAACAGGAAACAGAGCTTGGGGGATTTAAAGGCCTGGGATACTCAGTTGAGGCGTGTGTGTGTGTGTGTGTGTGTGTGTGTGTGTGTGAGAGAGAGAGAGAGAGAGAGAGAATGGGATGGACAGTGTTGTGTTACCGAGTTTGAAAGTAGCACTGGATCTCCACATATGCTGCCTAAAAGAATCTTTGGACGAGTTGAGTCATTTTGGGTGGTTGTGTTTTTTTTCTCTGAAGAGAATCTCCTGGCCTATCCCTCAGATTCTAAACTGAATCCTATTCATTTACAGCTGTCAGTTGACTAGCAACTAAATGGTTGGGTGTTGGTTGCCATGGAAACCATTAAAAGGCCCATTGCTATGGGAACCTACCATGTTCTCCAAACCAGTGGTTTGGTTCCTAAAAAGAAATGGAGAGGAGAGTGAGGGCGGAGCTAAGGAGATGGGCCGCATAGTTGGCGTGAGGGTCCTGGAAGAGGGTGAGCAGTGTGGTGAACCTGGCTAGCTCCTCACTACTGAGGCAGAAGAGCAGGGACTTCTTCCACTTTCTGCAGGCATTCCCCACCTGTTCTCTGCTCAGTGCCCCGTGGTAGCCACAGAGCACAGATGTTTGCTGTCCCAGACAGAGAATAAAAGCATGAAGTCCTGGGCTGGACCTAGCATTTTAGTTCAGCTACTGTCATCTGCTTGGGCTCAAAGAAGAAAACTTTTGGCTCCTCTCTGTATGGCAGCCTGTTCTCTACATATTCTGTGTCCCAGATAAGCAGCTAGCAGGTGAAAGAATCAGCTTAACTCTGACTGCCAGTGGGTCAGGCCAATAAAGAGCCTGGCAGACAAAATGGATGGCTGCTGGCCTTGAAAATGGCAGAGATGCTGGGGGTTCCAGGTGAGGAAGAAGGGCAGGCCAGCAACAGCGATCTCTGTTCTCAGCATTAGAGAAATGCATTACTTTGCTCTCTAACTCCCCACCCACACACATGCCTCTACCACAACAGTAGGTGCTGCAGATGGAGCAAAATATTAAAAACAAGGTTTGACAGAGGTTCTCAAAGGATGCACACAATAGTTGTAAGACACTTTCTGGGTTTTGCAATCAAGGGAAATAATCAGTGTTAAATGGTAAGATGACCTTTCACTGAAACAAAGAGAAAACATTTTAGTGGCTCTTCCATTAACTACTATTAATATGTAATATATACATCGAAGGGATTGGGCCAGATAATCTCCAAAGTCTCTGTCAGAATTAACAGTTTATGATTCTCTGAGACTGTTGACAAAAGAACTCCAGCCTATAGAAAAATTTGACAAAAGAACAAAAGTTGACAAAAGAACTCCAGCCTATAGAAAAATTTTATATGAGTTTATTTGAGCCAAATTTTGAGGGCATGCCCAGAAACAAGATGTCAATGGATTGAGAAAATGCTCCAAAGAATAGCAGTTTTGCAGCTTGTTTTATACATAAGAATCAAAGGAGAAGACATAAGGAAGTTTCCATGAAATAATCCATTGGCGGTAGATTAAGGAGGTGGGAGAAAGCGAAGTGTGAAAATCTGTAGAATTGGATAAAAAACAAAATGGAGAAACACTTCTTTTATATTGGTGGGTACAGGATAGTTAATAATTAAAATTTACAGCACGTAAAGATGGTATGCGGGGAACGACATAACACTGAGGGATAACACTGTGCTCTCTTGCCCTGGTGGTTGTGTGCTCTGGCGCTGGCAGCCGTGCCTTCAAGAGCTCTAGAAAAAAAAAATTACTGTGACATTTCAAAAATATATTATCCTAGATCCATAAGAACAATGAACAGAGCTCACTTAAGGAAAAGACTGCTCTTTGCTAAGGAAGCTATAGACCTGGGATGTGACTACCCACCATTGTCTGCCCAGTTTAGGAATTTATGGTCAGACCATCCTGCGTGGTTACTTTTGGTCACTGGGCTTGTCAGGTCTGCCAGGTAACCCTCTGATCCCCCTTTTCATTCATAAGACACTGAAGGGAAGTTTGGACACCACTGGCAAGCAGACAGATGAATCTTACCTGTGAGAGCAAGGAAAAGTCCAGGGGAGCTTAGGAGTGAGACTAAAGCCAAGATATTCATTTAAAGACCATCTCAGATATGTTAGGCCCGTGGGACTTTATTACCCAGTTCTCCAGAACACTGAAGTATGTTGTCTTGATTTTTCTCTCCTAATCTTGTCTTCTCCTGCCTGGAGTTGTTGGTCTCTGCCTCTCCCAGGGAGTTTTAGAGTCTAGGAACCTGGCATCAGAGAGAGATGCCACTCAGAATGGGGACTTGCCCCACAGAGCAGTTGAGCATTGCCCAGGGTTTATGGGGAGGTTTTCACTGTTGGGTCACAGTAGTTGTTTATAGATTTCTATAACATTAAAAATTTTCAATAAAATCCGGCTTTATATCCCACCTCCAACTCTTCCCAGCTGATTGACTTTGGATAAGTTATTTAACATTTTTTTTTGATGATGAGTACTTTTAAGATCCACTCTATTTAACTTCTTAAGGCCTCGGTTTTCTCAGCTGTAAAATAGGATAAGAATACCCATCTTGGGGTGGTTTAATGATGACCTGAGGAGGTATATGCAAAGTCAGTGCAGGGCTTGACTCTAATAAGCACTTGATTATTATTATCCTCCTAGATAAGGAAAGAAGGTTGCAGCCATGGAAACTGCTCAATGGTCCGTGGATTTAATTCTGGGTGCCATTCAAGACTGATGGCTTCCCTGATGGCCTTCCCTATGGTTTGCCTTAATTAAGGCAGATTCTAATCTTCTCTTTATGACACTTAATCACGTTTTTTT